TAGGGTTAAAGTTTAATTTCAAAATTATTATTTTAAATTAAGTAACATTTAATTAAATAATAAGTTAAAATGAAAGTAAACCCTAAACCCCGTTCTTGATCGTCGATAATTGCTGAAACCCAGGTTACACTCGAAACCCTGGACACCAAACTACCTAAATCCTAAAGCCCCCTGTACCCCCTGTATTCCTTAAGCAAAGCACACACCAAAACTTGACAGGACCCTTCAATGCACCCGGATGACCCTTGGATGCAACGATCAGGCCAGGCACTGCATCTAAGGGTGTTTTGTGTGCATCCAAGGGTCATTGAGGGGTACTGGTCTGGTGGGATCATCGCCTTTGCTTCTGTCCCAGTGCCAGTCACTCGTCGCGAAGTTTGAAGTTGTCAGCAAGTGCTCAACTTAAACGTTGCATTCAAGGCTCCAGGCACCAAGGCACCCAGGCTCTCAGGCTCCAAGGCCTAGTAGAGTGTGCATTTTGACCCTACCCACACAGTGTACGCTGCCGTTACGTCACTGTGGGCACCGTTGGCCGGGTGTCGGGCCGCAGGAACTCAGCCTTGAGGCCAACCTGCCAAGGCAGTGGCAGATGACAGCTGGGCCAATGGGCTAATGCGCCAGCTGGGGCAAAATCTGGGCCAGGGATCCTGTTGTCCCGCCAGATTGTTCCTGCAATGAGGGGGAGGCTTTACTGCTGGGATCATCGGCTTTGCTTCTGTCCCAGTGCCAGTCACTCGTCGCGAAGTCTGAAGTTGTGCAAGTGCAGAATTCAAACTTTGCATTCAAGGCTCCAGGCCCCCAGGCCCCCAGGCGCCCAGGCTCTCAGGCTCTCAGGCTCCAAGCCCCTGAGGCTGCATGTCTACCAGCCCTCCGTGCGTCTCCAGGCACTTTGAGGCAGTGGCTGGATGGCTGGGGTTCGGGCTTTCAGAGTGCCACCGATGCCAGCACGTTTTGGTCTCGGGGCGACCAAGCTTCCACAAAGATTGATACAAGTCTTCAAACTCGTCATTGTTGTTCGTCGATGATAGTTGAAACCCAGGTTACACTCGAAACCCTCGTTACCAAACCACCTAAATCCTTAAAGCCCCCCTGTACACCCTGTAAATTCCTTAAGCAAAGCACACACCAAAACTTGACAGGACCCTTCAATGCACCCGGATGACCCTTGGATGCAACGATCAGGCCAGGCACTGCATCTAAGGGTGTTTTGTGTGCATCCAAGGGTCAATTGCTGAAACCCAGGTTACACTCGAAACCCTCGACACCAAGCCACCTTTATCCTAAACCCCACCCTGTACCACCTGTATTCCTTCAGCAAAGCACACACCAAAACTTGAAAGGACCCTTCAATGCACCCGGATGACCCTTGGATGCAACGATCAGGCCAGGCACTGCATCTAAGGGTGTTTTGTGTGCATCCAAGGGTCATTGAGGGGTACTGGTCTGGTGGGATCATCGCCGTTGCTTCTGTCCCAGTGCCAGTCACTCGTCGCGAAGTTTGAAGTTGTCAGCAAGTGCAGCAATTTAAACGTTACCGTTGCATTCAAGGCTCCAGGCACCCAGGCACCCAGGCTCTCAGGCTCCAAGGCCCAGTAGAGTCGCTGCCGCCATGATTCCAGGCACTTTGAGGCAGTGGCTGGACGGCTGGGGGTCCGGCTTTCAGAGTGCCACCGAGGCCAGCATCGGTGCCACTCATGCCCGTTTTGGTCTCGGGGCGGCCAAACTTCCACAAAGATTGTTGGTGGGAACTGATTGCAGTGGCATTGATGCACCGATCCATGGCCTTAGGGAGCTCGGCATCACGCACCAGCATTTGTTTGGGAGTGAGGTGGCTGCTGGTCCTCGGTCGGTTATCGAGGCTAATACCAAGCCCTCGGTACTGTTCCACAGTGTCCTGGATGCTGACAAGGCACCGTTCGTTCACCTGTACATTGCCGGCTTCAGCTGCAAGCCGTTCAGCCTGCTCCACAATAAGTCAAGGCTCCTCAAGGAAAAACAGGCTCAAATATTCTATGGGGTCGTTGCACGCATCCAACTTGTGCGGCCCTCGTGCTTCGTGCTGGAGAATGTGTCAGGCATCAAGCGTGTTTCTGCAAAGGTTCTGGCGGCACTCAGGTCCACAGGCTATCATGTCGAAATGATTTTGATGAACCCTGCCGAGCTACAGGAGCCCATCCAGAGGCCTAGGTACTACTTCATCGGGGTCCGGCAAGATGTGAGCCTCATCTCGCCAAAGGACATGTCGTGCTGGCTTCGTGAGGCTTGGGCGGAAGTCCTGGATGCAGTTGCTTCCGGAGACGCAGTCGATCTTTTGGATAGACTGCTACCGGCGAGCCACCCTGCTGTGGCACAGTACCAGGAAAGCCGCAAACGGAAGTGGTCGCAAGCTTCCAACCGTGGGTTCCCAGGCTCCCAGGCTCCAGGCTCCCATGCTCCAAAGTGGAAAGAATTGCACAAGATGTGCAAAGCTTCAATGCAGCAGGGCAGCCGGTTGAAGAGTGAGAGTCGGAGGCCTTGCACTGAGAGCGGAGTCGCCTGCTGCGCAGACACGTTGTTCCTGCATTTGCCGCGTGAGCGTGATGCCTGGGACATCATTTGCACAAAGCATGCAGGCAGTAAGGAGCTTGTCGCGGATGTATCCCAGAATGTGAACCGAGCCCGGGTGCGGACCGATGGCTCCCTGCCTACTGTTACACCTGGGGCCGTACTGGTATCCGCACGAGCTGGAAGGATCATTAGCCCGCTTGAAAAAGTCATGCTGCACGGTTTTCCAATTCACCGTATGGTTTTTCCCAGCAAAGTGACCGACAAGGAGCTCGCCAGCATGGGCGGCAACACGATGCGTGTGCAGATTGTGGCCGTGGCAATGAAGTTTGCGCTTGCGTTGGTAAACTGGAGCCTGCCCAAAGCTTCCCGGCCGACAGCCTTGCGCAGCACCGTTGCTGCGCCAAGCATAACTGCTTCAGTTGTGCTCGGCGCAGCAGCGAAATGCCGCAAGCGCCATGGCAAGCCACGGAAGGCTCCCAAGGCGCGAAAGGCTGCATCGGCGCAGAAGCCTCCAAAGGCACCAAAGGCTCCAAAGGCTCAGAAGGCTGAAGGCATGTCAGCTTTGGCAAAGCGTTGGCAGAAAGTCTTGAGACCGCAGGCAGCAAAGAAGTGCTCGAGGAAGGGTGCCACGGCCACATTGGCGTCCCGTCTTGCCCATCGCTGGGCAAAGTAGTAGTCATTAATTCGTCATATTATGACGGAGAATGGCATGCGTTTTCTAATTTGGCCACTCGGAGTTGGCATCATAGACTGACTTAGGTGAGGCCGGGTGCAAAATTCGGGAAAGCCTGCTCCGAGCAGTACAGATTATTTGGACTGGGTCACCCTGCCGACTCCCAGTGAAACAAACCGCCGCAGTGTGCATAGGAGTTCGCAGTGTTGTGCCATTCGGGCTGCTTGACTCGGGGTAATACCCTCACGTCTGCCAGGCAGCTGCTCGCTGTCGGATCGAACGGGAAGCTGGAGGCGCGGTTCTCGGGTTAGTCGGAGTCGGTTGGACCAGTTGCAGAGTCTGATTCAGTTCCAGTCTTAGCACGGTTGCCACGGTTGCGTTTGCTTGTCATCGTAAGTGCTGCGCGGTCGCTTCAGGCTCCCAGGCTCAAGGCTCCAAGGCCCCCAGGATTTCAATGCCAGTGGGTAGCCGCACCCTGCGTGGTCTTGCCGCTCGGTTCGGACTACGCTCCCGGAAGCAGGACCGGACGCCGACAAAAAAAAGACGAGGTCCACAAGGATCCGTGCCTGCGGCCCCGAAGAAGCTTCGGCTCGAGTCCGGCGAAGGCCTGGCTCAGGAGGGCGACGACGACACCGGAAAGGGATGTGGCGATGTTGGTCTCGCGACTGAGAGCGATGCAGAGCATTTGGCTCGCCATCGTGGTGGCGACGAGAAATGCAGCCGATGCAAGCTGCCCGGTTCAGAAACCCTAATTTTAATTTAAATTATTATTTAATTTATTATTTAATTTTAATATTTAAAGAAATTTAAATCATAAATGGTCTTATTATTAATAGGGTTTCTGAACCGGGCAACTAGACATACTACATACATACATACTTACATGCCTGCCATGCATGCATACACATTACATGTCAATCTATTTTTTCATTTTGGTTCTTTATCATCTTGCTGTCGTGTTTCTCTCTCTCTCTCTCTCTCTCTCGGTGGCTCTCTCTCTCTCTCTCTCTCTCTCTCGCTCTCTCTCTCTCTCTCTGTCTCTCTCTCTCTCTCTCTCTCTCTTTCTCTCGTTCTCTCTCTATCTCTCTCGCCTCTCTCTCTCTCTCTCTCTCTCTCTCTCTCTCTCTCTCTTTCTCGTGCTCTCCGTCTCTCTCTCTCTCTCTCTCTCTCTCTTTTTCTCTCTCTCTCTCTCTCTCTCTCTCTCTATCTCTCTCTCTCTCTCTCTCTCTCTCTCTCTCTCTCTGTTGGATCGTTATTGTTTGTGGCAGACTTGCTACTTGACTATGTTGCAGTTGCTGGTTGGTTCTTGCTTCCGGCATTCTCGACTTGATCTCGTCCGTTTGCATACAATCCCAACATGTCAGTCAGGTTCCTTCGCTTCCAGGAAGTTTGGAGCAAAGCCGGAAGCCTCACCCACACGTCTTGGGGCAAGCAGCAGCGGACAGTTTGGCTGGGCCAGAGACCAGCTCGCCGAGGAGGCGATTGGGGCATCGGCTGTCACTTTTGTGCACACTTGATGAATGTTTTGGCACAGAACCCAGCAGAGCGGAAGAGGTTGCAGTCCGGCCGAATTGTGCAGTGTAGTGCGAGCGGATAGCCCCTTTGTGATCAAATTAAGGCTGACCGTGACCAGCCCAACTTTCGCAGCCCTAAATGCCTAAGGCTGGGCAGTCGCCTCTCTACCAAGTGGGGTGCCTATGAGGTCCGATCAAGGACCGCATCATGTTGTCGTTGTCAGCTGTGATTTAAGGCATCAGTCGCAGACTTTGGCAGGAGTGCGATGCAGGCATGCTGCATACACGCTCACAGCAAGACCTTCGTTCACCAGGTGGCCACGAAGGTTTACCTAGCTCCTGACACGCCGATCTCACAGTGCTTGCCTTACAGCATCAAGCATCAGCACCTCTTCTCCGGCAACGTTCCTCAGCCGGCAGATTGGCTGCGAGCGTGGCGGGCGTGCCGGACAGCATCTTCTTTCAAAGGTGCCGTGAAATTCTATTCCACGGAAGACTTCGCTGCTGGCAGGAACACGAAGCTTGACAGTGTGAGCCAGGATGCAGCACTTTAAAAGGCCTAAGGTTTCAGATTGTTGACATTTTATTTTGGCACATTTAAATTTAAAATTGGACAAATAATTTAATTAATCATCTGAGGTCTCAAGAACATGATTCTTGTTATGCACTGGGCTGTCAAGAGTGTTCGCAAGCAGCGTCTCGAACAAGCCACCAGCATCAGCTTGTCCGTGGACGACCGCAAGGAGTATCGTTTGGTGAGGTACCGTTGCGATGTTCCACCGCGCACTGCCAAGCAGTCAGCGGCTCCAGGCTCCCAAGGTCCCCAAGGCTCCCAAGGCTCCCAAGGCTCGGAGGATGGCCCGCTTGTCGCCGATGGCTTGCTTGGGGTCTACAAGACAGGTGCCAGTGTTCCTGAAAACACATTGGAGGAGCACGATGCGGACAAGAGTCAGGTGATGGCAGACAGCATAGGCATAGTCATTGACAGGGCCTGTCAGGATCCGGAAGGCAAAACTGACGAGGAGTCCTGCAGCCGCTTGAAGCTGCACGTGCGGCACTTTGCAGCCGATCAGTGCACATCTGCCCGGAAGTGTGGAAGGTTGTTGGTCACTGGCGGCCAGTATCCTAACCTGGTCTGGGTAAGCCATGATCCTGCGCACCAGGTTCGTATTGCCTACCAGGACCCTCTTCACGCCATGCCCGAGTTCCAAGACCAGTGGGAGCGTTTGTTTGCTCCCGGCAAGGGCAAGCATGCGCTTATCCCGGACATCCAGAACTCAGAAGTCTGGAAGGCCAGGCTCATGGCGGCCCAGCAAGAGGTTCTCATGCTCCATGGCTCCCAGGCTGGTGTGGAGAAGGTGATCCGAGCGTTGTCGTTCTCCCAACCTCGGTTTGACTCGTCGGCCACACCAATGCTGAAGTACTTCTGCATGATTCGTGCGATGGCGGTCTTATGTGCTATGCAGGCTGCTGACGAGTCTTGTCCTTATGTCAAACAAATTTTAAAATTATTACATTTAATAATTATTATTTATTTTAATTTAATTATTGTGTATTAAATCTTAGTCTTAGTATGGATTGTATTAATGCATGTATGTGCGGATGTATGTATGTACGTAATTATTATTTTAATAATTTAATAATAATAATAATTTATATTAATAAATATTAATGACAATGATTAATAACTATTGAATTAATTTTATAATATATTAACTTTTATTCAATAATAACTAAGTATGTAGTCTTAGTATTATGTATATGATATGTAGTATGTATGTATGTATGTATGTATGTATTAATGCATGGTAATTCACTTTCAATGTGTAGTATCTAAATTGAATTGTATGTATGTATGTATGTATGGCATGTACGTATGTATGTATGTATGTATGTATGTATGTAAGTATTATGTATGAGTATGTATGTATGCATGTATGTATAAGTAAAGCATGGATGTAAGTATGTATGCATGTACGTATGTATGTAGGTATGTATGTATGTATGTAGTATGTATGTATGTATGTGTAGCGTTAAGAAATTTAAAGTATGTATGTGTGTATGTATTATGTATGTATGTATGTATGTATGTTTGTATGTATGTATGTATGTATGTATGTATGATACGTATGTATGTATGTATGTATGTATGTATTGTATTGGCATTGTATGTATGTATGTATGTATGCATGTAGGTATTATTAGACATATTATTATTAACATAATACAATGTATGTATGTCTGTATGTATAGTATGTATGTATGTATGTATGTATGTATGTATGTATGTATGTATGTATGATGTATGTATGTATGTATGTATAGTATGTATGTATGTATGTATGTGTGTATGTATGTATGTATGTATGGCATGTATGTATGTATGTATGTATGTATTGTATGACTGAGTATGAACTAATTTAATAATAATAAATTAAATTATTTTAAACATTGAATGTTTGTGTGTATGTGTGTATGTATCGTAGTATGTTATGTATGTATAGTATGTATGTTTGTATGTTTGTATGTATGTATGTATGTATGTATGTATGTATGTAATTTAATGTATGTAAGTATTATGTATGTAGTATGTATGCATGTATGTATGTAATGTAATAATAGTATGTATGTTACTCTACGCATGTATGTCATGTATGTTGAAATGTCCGTTGTATGACACACAGGAGAGAAACACGGTCGAGATTCGCTCCCGAGCAGAGCGCGCCTTGCAAAACATGAATGCAGCAGCCCTCATGCGCTGTGGACTCACTTGCGACTACACATCTGAGTGCCTGCGTTTCTTGCGCAGGAACTTTGACATTGAGGATCCAGATGTATCCTGCACCCCCAGAGTGCTGGAAGAGTTCACCAAGCGCCAGCGGTTCTTATTTGTGGATGGATACAGCCTCTCCGACAGCTCGCAGGTTCCCAGTTCCGTGGACGGCTCCGAGGCTCCAGGCTCCCAGGCTCCCAGGAGGTGTGCAACCCAGTTAGTTTACGAGGAGATCCAGACACCAGAGCCGCAACTACCCTGCAAGTTTGTCGTCGTCATAGCGGTTGTGTTCCAGTAGGCTTCGCTGGTATGCCCGCCGTGGCAAACCTAGGATCTTCTATGGCAACATAGTCCACTACCTGTGCACGAAGGCCGGCATTTCTGATGTAAGGCAGATCATGGGAACTATGGCGCACGTGGTCGAGGCGATGCTGGAGCGTTTGCGAGTAGATCTGACGGAGGATGAGATCGCCGTGGCTCTGCAGGTATTCAACCTTCGGCTGTGGCAGGAGACGAA